GGGATAGGATTCCAAAATGCACTGGGGAAGGGGGGAAGGGGGGAATGATTTAGGTACTTGACCTCAAAAGAGACTTCTCTGGGGAAACTGGAGGGTGGATGTCAAAGACCAAAGCCTCTGTCTCTAAAGTCCTGGGGACCAAGAAACCCTGGAGCTGGGTGGGGGGGCCTGTGTCCAATCTCCTAATCCCTGGTGGGGAGGGCAAGATTGATGGCTGTCGCTATGGAATCAGTATGATTTTCTTTATTTCTTCTCCCCCCCCCCCCCCCATGACTCTGGGAGGCCACGCTCCCCTCCCCTCCTTCTCCATCATTACACAACCTCTCCCAACCCCGAGCTGATCGAGATGGGAACAGAGGGCCATGGAATTAAATTCTGGGGGTTGTTTTCTGGTTAAATCAACCGAAGCTAACATAATGGAAGTGAGAGAGAGAGAGAGAGAGAGAGAGAGAGAGAGAGGAGGCTGTGTGATGGAAGAGACGGGAGCTGAGGGTTAGGGGGAGGCAGGAGGACAGGGCTCCCAGCCCACTGAGGGCATAGGAAAAGGGCTACAAAGGGGGGATGGCCCAGAATACTGGTCCAGGGAGTTGACTATGATAGCAAGGATGAGGCAAACCTGATGTCCGCACCTCTGCTGCAAGGAAGCTGCAAGGAAGACTGGGGTTAGTGCCCAGGTGCAGTATTCGGGTATTATATTTTTCTTAGGTGTCGTTGGCATTTCCTCACCTGGAGAGCTGGTCCCACCCCTTCGCTCACCTTCTCCCCGTCCATTTCACCCACCTAAGGACCTTTTCTGTCAGGAGCAAGAAGATGCTCCTGGGAGGAAGGACCCTACCTCTTCCTTCCCACGAAGGTGTTGCAGCAGAATCTGAAGCGGGAGTTCAGATTTAAAGTTTTTAAAACTTCAAATACCCTAACTTGCAACATGCAGCCTCAACACATGTTACACTGTCTTCCACACCCCCCTCTTCACGTCCAGTAACTGGACCCAGACTGATCAGGCCCAGAAACACCTGGACAAACTCAGACATTCATAGAGGCCGAGGGAGCTGGGCTGGAGATCCCATCCCTGTCTGGAAACAGGAGTCCGCAGGAGGCAGCCCTCTTCCTTTGGGGCTGAGAGCTGGCTCTGGGGGTCTCTCGGAGTCCACAGGGAGAGAAGCCAGTTGGGCTGAGGGGGTGCTGGTGGGGGCTGGGAGGAGCCCTCTGGGCTCCCCTGCCTGCCCCCGGGGATTAATGCACAGACCCAGGCGTGTTGAGTGCCTTCACAGCAGCAAAAGCCAGGGATGCTCTATTTGAGCCTCAAGTAGAATGTCCTTTCCTAGTTAGGGACGTTTCTCACACAGTATTTGAGTAATCGGCGTGATCTGCTGCTGGATTCTGAGCCTGTTGACACTGTCTGACATACTTTGAATGAATGGGTCCTCTCAGGCCTCAGTTGTGCCTTTAAAATGGGCGGGACCAAAGACACAGGGCTGGGGTCGGAGCCTGGGGAGGCTTCTGTGGGGGCTGCACAGGGTGGGGGTTGCCAGGCAGGGTGGGGGTGAGGAGGTGGTGTCCTCTCCTCCCTGAGGAATGGGGACAAAGACGTCTCCTCTGCCTTGTCCTCCTTGCTCTCCTGCCAGGACTGGTCTGGAGTCCAGGACTGAAGGGACAGGGGAGTTGGCTTGTTCCCAGAGGGCCTGTCAGGCCAGCCCAATGCGACGGGAGGGGAGTGTCCCTTCATAAACGCTCCTTGCCATCTGCCGATGAGACAGGGGCCATTCCCACCGGCTCATTCCCTTGAACCCCCCAGCCGCTCCCCCAGACAGGATGGGGCCCAGTGCACCCTCCTCAGAAGTGCAGAGGCAGTGGTGGTGACAGAGACTTGGTTTAGAGGAGGGAGAAGAGGTGAAGGGAGGAGAGGGGAAAGGGACACCCCTGACTAGAGGGATACGGTCCCAGGGGCCAGAAAAGGGGAAAGGAGAGGAAATACCAGGTATGCTTTTGGAAGGAGGAGAAAAGCAGCCTTCAGGAGACAAAGAGGAGGGAACAGGAGAGGACTAGGGCAGTGGTCGACAAACTCATTCGTCAACAGAGCCAACTGTAAACAGGACAACGATGGAAATTTCCTTTGAGAGCCAAATTTTTAAACTTTAACTTTTCCTAACGCCACTTCTTCAAAATAGACTCGCCCAGGCCATGGTATGTTGTGGAAGAGCCACACTCAAGGGGCCAACGAGCAGCATGTGGCTTGCGAGCCGCAGTTTGCCGACCACAGGACTAAGGGAAGGAGCAGGTGAGGTAGAGGGAAGAGAAGAGACTAGAGATGGAGGAGAAGGTGAGCAGGAGGCAGCCCTGGGGTGTGCAGCACGGGGCTGAGGGCAAGGGAGGCTGCGTGTGCGTGTGTGCGTGTGCGTGTGTGTGTGTTTGTGTGTGTGTGTCCGGTGGCCGCGGTGTCGGTGGAGACTCTTCAGGTTCCATTAGTGGCGATGGAAGGTGACATGCAGGGATCGATACCAATCGAGGTGACAGACTCCCAGTAATAAACCCATTTCGCTCACACTTCTCCACCCCCACCGGCCAACCCCGAGAGAGGGCGCGAGGGCTTCCCACATCTGACCCCCTCTCCAGCAAGGCTGCTCTCAGACCTGTCCCAGCCCTGGTGCTGGGACGGGGTAGGGACCCCACGCCTGGGAGGAGTCTGCAGCAGGGCGGGGGCGGGGCTACCTGGCCCCATGAGGCTCAGGCCCAGGCTCTGCTGCCTTCCACCTGGACTCCAGTCTCCTCCCTAACCCTGTGGGTATTTCCGAGGCAGAACCGGGAAGAGCTCTGGGTTTACTGATCTGCTTACTCCCCCCCCCTCCCCCCGGGGTGCTGGTGAAGGCCTCTTTGTGTGCCTGGGTCGGTGTGGGTGTCAGAATGTGTGTCTGTCTGTCTCTGTCAGTAGGAGTTTGTCTGTGTGTGTCTGAGGATTCATGGAATGAATGTATGTCTCTCTGCGGAGTCTGCCTTTACGACTGCGTGGCTCCGTGCGTAGGTGTTTGTGTTTCCAGCGTGTGTTGTTAGTGTACTGTGTGTGCCGATCCGTGTCCACGTACCCCGCCCCCACTTCTGGGAACGCGGGTCCGTGAGCCCGAGCTGCCTGCGTGAGTCTGAGCGTGTGTATCCGTGTTCCTGTGGGTGCTGCTGCTGGTGTGTGGGCTGTTTTGGAGACTGTGGGTGTCTCTGTGTACATGCATCTGTGGGGGAGCGGGGGGGGGGGGGAATCGTGACTGTCTCTGTCTCCTGTGCGGGTGGGAAAATGCTGCTGGTGTCTTAGTCATTTTTGCACCCAAACCTGCCCCAATCGGGCCCCTGGAGCTGGGCCTCAGGCAGTGTCTGGCCTACCTTCCAGGTAGGATGTCCACCGTCCCTGGAACTGAGCAGTTTCCCCAGATAGGAGACTCTCAGGACTGAAACTGGGCCAGTCCCAGATGCACCAGGGCAAGGTCACACACTTCTTCCAGGACACACGGAGGCCAGAGTGAACAGCGGGGCAGGTGTCGGGAAGAAAAGGCAGGAGGAAGGTGGGGGGAGAGTTAGAGGAGAAGCTAGGAAGACTGAGGCGTTTGAATGGGAGAGGAACTAGAAAAAAAGAAATAAAAGGCTGTGGGAGCAGTAGGAGGAACGCTGGTTAGACCAAAGGAAGAACTTCCTCAGGGTACAGAGGTGGTACTCCAGAAACTAAGGCAGGAGGCAAGGAGGATGGCTTGTTCTCTGCTGGGATAAACTCCAATGAAGAGACATGTGGGGCTCTGTGGGGGGGGCGGGGCGGGAAGAGAGGGGACGGGGGCACTGGCAGAGTGATGTTGCTGGCCAGCAAGTAGCCCCTCTGTGGGGGCTCCTCCCCCCCTGCACTCCTCACTGTCCTCTCTGCCCCATAGTACAGCGTGTGGGATGTCCTGCTTTGAATCCTTCCCTCTCTCTGCCTGGTGGGCTCCCCTCCTCAAAGAGAACAGGGATGGGGACCTGGGTGGCCTTGGGTGGTGGGCATTGAGCAGGTAGAGGGCCAGGAGGCTGTGGGAGGGACAGCTGGTTCATAATGTCCTAGAGTCTTTAAAACTCCACGGGAAGATTGGAGCCTCGTCCATTGTGTCCACCATGGAATCTGCAGTCCCTACCTCAGGCTCTCAGGAAACCTTCTTTTTTATTTTTTTATTTTATATTTTTATTGATTTCAGGGAGGAAGGGAGAAGGGAAGAGAGACATAGAAACAGCAATGATGAGAGAGAATCATTGACTGGCTGCCTCCTGCATGCAACCCAGGTATGTGCCCTGACTGAGAATCAAACCGTGATCTCCTGTTCAAAGGTCAACGTTCAACCACTGAGTCATGCCCAGCTGGGCTCTCAGGGAACTTTTTTGATGAAATTCATAGCTTTGTCCCTGCTCCTGAGTGTGTTAGCTGTCTCTGGCTGTTCCTCTCTCAGCCCCATCCTGCCTCTCCTCACTCCTGCCTGCTCCTGCATGGGGCCTCACAGGTGAGCCTGCCCAGCAAATCACATTCCTGCAGAGTCCGTGAAGGTCAGGCACACGGGGCTCCTGCAAGGGGCCTCCAGGCTCTGCTGATAGTTGTCCCCTTTAGTTTGGTCTCAACGCAGTGCTTTTCTTTCTTTCTTATTTATTTATTTATTTATTTATTTATTTATTTATTTTGAAATATATTTCATTGATTTTTTACAGAGAGGAAGGGAGAGGAACAGAGAGTCAGAAGCACTGATGGGAGAGAAACATCATTCAGCCGCCTCTTGCACACCCCCTACCTGGGGATGTGCCCGCAACCAAGGTACATGCCCTTGACCAGAATCGAACTTGGGACCCTTCAGTCTGAAGGCCGACGCTCTATCCACTAAGCCAAACCGGTTAGGGCTTTTCTTTCTTTTCTTTTTTTTTGAAATTTATTTTTTATTAATTTCAGAGAGGAAAGAAGAGGGAGAGACAGAAACATCAATGATGAGAGATCAGTCATTGATCGGCTGCCTCCTGTATGCCCCCTCCTGGGGATCAAGCCTGAACCCAAGGCATGTGCCCTTGACCGAGTCGAAGCCAGGACCCTTCAGTCTGCAGGCCAGTGCTTCACTCACTGAGCCAAACCGGCTCGGGCAACGTAGTGCTTTTCGGATTGCCCTGACATTGGCTCTCTGGCACTTCAAGGTGTTTGAGGGGGTTACACCAATAACCATGAGGATGAAACTGCCTTATTGGGGGTCACACGGGCTTGTATCAGTTCTATCAACCGAGTTCTCCGTAGAAGTTTCGAAAACAGAGCTTTAATGCTAACAATCGTTGCGCCCTGGGCCACTCCTGACACCCGCAGGTGCGTCTGTGAGGAAGAGTCAGGAGAGTGGGCCCAGGGCAGAGACTGCGCACCCCTGGGCGCTCCTCAGGGAGGCTGATTCCCTGAACCCAGACCCTGGGCCAGAAGAAGGGGCATGGCCGAAGGTGGACATGTCCTCTTGACCCCACAAACTCCACACCTGGGCTGGGGGCCGTCCTGCTTGCAAATTGCAGTTGCAGTGTTTGTTGAGTCCCTGCCTCGCTGGCCTCTGAGCTGGGCCCTGGGCTGAGCTCTGGAAGGCAGTGGGAGAACTGGATCTTGCCCAGGATCCTGCTGTGTTCACTCTCCTCTGGGCCCAGTCTGTTTACCTCTGTGGGGCTCTTCTTGTCTGTTTCTCAGACGGGTTCTGTCTCTTCCCTCAGACCGGGGGCTTTGGGAAGCCAGGAGCTGTTGGCTCCCAGAGGAAACCGTATCTTCTCCATCAGACTAGGGATTACCTGGTTGCAGACTAGGGGTCAGCGTGGGAATCCCTCCTTCCTTAGTCTGTAGACGCCCTAAGAGGGGCTGAGTCTCCTTTCCTAGTTCCTCTTCCTCTGTCCAAGCCCTGGGGCGGGGAGGTGGGGGTGTCAGGGGTGAGCACGGAGGAGATTTGGCCAAGGCTCCCTGAAGATAGCAAGGAAGTGGGTGACAGTATGAAGAACACACAGGCAGCAAGGACACACACACACACACACACACACACACACACACGGCCGCAGAGAGGGCAGGGAGAAACTGGCATTACACGTAGCAAGAGGGTGCAGGCAAGGCTGTGCAGCCTTATGAAGAGACATCCAAAAGCCTGGCTTCGGAGTGGGGTGGGCAGTGGGAGTCGAGGGGGGGGGGTCACAGTGGGAAAAGGCAGATGGCAGCTGTTGCCCACTAATTCTACGTCCCCAGCTCTTTTCGGGACCTTTGAGGACACGAGATGGGCAGACATGTCTACCGTCTGGAGCCAGGAAGGATTTCTTGCAGAAGAGAACTCGGGGACTCCAGGGGGATGCTGGTCTCCCTCCCCGCATCTAACCCTGATACCCCCCCCCACACACACACACACATGAACTTGGGGCAGGCCAACCAAACTTTTGTGTCTATATTCAGTATCAAGGAGCCCTGGGTCAGGCTGATAGGAAGGAATAAGAGGGAGAGGGAAGGGGCCAGGAGAATGCAGAGCTCAAATGAGACCTGAGATAAAACAATTACCTGATCAATATGGGTGAAATTGAGTAATCTAACAAATCAATACCCTGGGCTCCTGCTAAGGCTGAGAGGTGCTACATGCTCTCAGTCCTGATCTCTGGACTCCTCCTCCTGAAACCTCCCCTTCCCCCACTTTAGTCCCTTTCCCACCCCCCCACCTTCCCCACCCCCCAACCCCCCACTCCCACGTCCAGGAATTCACTCTAGGTTGCCTTCCATCCAGCCTTGAACTCTGTTCCCCCCAAGGCTGCCCAAGACTTCCTCTTCAGCTTCTCCCTTCCCAAACTGATCCCCTTCTCTCAGCAGCCCTCTAGGTCGATGCCTCCACATCTTTCTCCATCTCCTTCCATTCCTGCCCCCCTTCTCACTCATTGGGGTCCACAGCCCAAGCCAGCTGGGTAACCAGCTGCCCACATCTGTGTCCTGGGAACAGGTGTGGGGAGGTGGTTCCACCTATCCCCCTATTTCCATGGTCGGCAAACTGCAGCTCGCGAGCCTCATGAGGCTCTTTGGCCCCTTGAATGTGGCTCTTCTACAAAATACCACAGCCTGGGCGAGTCTATTTTGAAGAAGTGGCATTAGAAGAAGTTGAAGTTTAAAAAATTTGGCTCTTAAAAAGAAATTTCCACCATTGTACTGTTGATACTTGGCTCTGCTGACCAGTAAGTTTGCCGACCACTGCCCTATCTGATAGTCACCTGCTAAGGACAAGAGCTAGGTTTTCAGGGACCAAGTCTTCCCACACTCCTTAGATATTAGGTTGCAGGCTGAGCTGGACTCTGGGGCAAGGAGCTGGAGGAGGACCCTGCCGTTCCAAAGGGGACCCAGTGGGTGCTGACAGTAGTGGAGGCTGGTAGGCCACCTGGGTCTGCCTAGAAGAGGGTCTTGGGGTTTGGTTATTTAATAGAAGGGGTGAGGGGGAGAGTGAGAACAGAGAACATTCCCGGTGTGTGGGAACATGAGTTCCTACCTTCCCAAGTCAGTGTTAAAGGTTCTCTGGCAACCAGGGAAGTGACAGCTCCCTGGGAGATGAAGAGAAAGGCCATGGCATTGTGGGAAGACCACCGGAGCCTCAGTCAGAGCCATCTTCCATGGCTGCTGGGCTGGAGGATCCTGGCAGGTAGGGAGTGTCTTCATTTGGCTGTGACAGCCCAGGACAGAGCCTGGCACCCAGTAGGCACCCGGAAAATGTTAGTCGAATAAATGAATGACTGTTGCCACTTTGCCACAGTCCACCTTGTACCTCCGTTCATTATGTTGGCTTGTTTCCCCGCCTACAATGTTAGTCACTAGAGAGCAGAACCTGCTGTGTCTATCAGCACATGGCCTGCCCGGTTTGTTTCACAAATGAATGAATGAATGAAGATCTGCATAGGTGCCTCTCCCTTTCTGGCCTGGCGTCCCATCCAGAGAGGAGCTCACACCGGCAATGATTCCACAACTTCCCTTAGAGATACCAGACGCCTCTTTAAGGCAACCCAATCCCCTGCCCCTTTCCTTCTGCCCTCTATGTGTCACCTCTGAGAGGCAGGGAGGTGTTTGAGAAAAAAACACGGACTTTGGAGTCGGAAACTCTGGGTGAGCCTGATCAGTTACTCACTAGCTATTGTTGACTGAGGGCAGTTCACTTATAGCTTCATTGACCTTTGTTTTCTTCATCTGCGAAATGGGGATGACAGTGATACATTAGGCAGAGGGCTATGTTGTGGATCAAATAAGTTAACTCAGACGAAGGGAACATAATGTTCCAGTGTTCGTTGTTATTTTCAATATAAGGGGTAGGAGGGGTTGCTCAGCAGAAGAACATTTTAACAAAAGCAGATAAAGATTTTTTCCAGCTGGGCCAGGAGTGGGAGCATGAAAATGAACTTTCTTTTTTTAGGTTGTTTTTTTAAAATATACTTTATTGATTTTTTGCAGAGAGGAAGAGAGAGGGATAGAGAGTTAGAAACATCGATGAGAGAGAATCATTGATTAGCTTCCTCTTGCATACCCCCCACTGGGGATGTGCCTGCAACCAAGGTACATGCCCTTGACGGGAATTGAACCTGGGACCTTTCAGTCCCAAGGCAGACGCCCTATCTACTGAGCCAGTCTGGTTTCCGCTTAACTTTCTTTACTTGTGACATTCCGCAGATAGCCTGAATCCACACTCCTCAGTTTCCCTTCCCCTTTTCTTTCAGTGAAGTTCTAATACCCAGAGGGCAAAGTCATGCAAAGAAGACACAGCCCCAGACACCACATTGTGGCTGGTTCCCCTCCTTCTCATCTATTTATGTTACTCTTTGAGGAATGGAGGGGGTGGGTTGGGGGGGGGGGTTAGTAGACCAGAGAAAGTCTTAATGACACATTGGAACAAAGGGCCCTGCCCTGGGAGCCAGTATGGTGGTTTCAAGGCCGACCTCTGCCTCCTGGAGAGAATGGTCTTTCCATTCTCCTCCCTTCTTCCTGCTCCTCCCTGGTGTGGTCCCTGCAGGACTCCAGGTGAGAGGTTCTTTGCTGGACCTTAGCTCTAGCACCAAGGTTGTAAGGCTCTAAGTCTTCTCCTAGGCTAGTCTTTGGACTGGAGCCAGCCTTGATGACGAAGGCCAGAGGCGATGACACGGGGTTAGGTAGAGAGGCGTGTTACCTCTTGGCTGCAGACCTTCACTTCCCAGTCTCAGCCCATTGTTTGGGCTGCACCCTCCCCATTGTCTGCCCAGACGGCAAGCTCAGATCCGGAGCTACTTCCCTATCAGTCAGGGTTGGGATTGTCTGCATTCTGGGAAGATTTGGTCTTTGATCTTTATCCCTCCTTGGCCAGCCCCACAGCTCAGCCCCTGCAGCCTCTTTGACCACAGGTGCTAGCTCCGCCTCTTGCCCTCCTGCTTAGGACACAAAGAAGAAACACTTGAGGAAACACTAGAGTTGTGGTCCCCCAGAATGCCTCCAATTCGGCATGTCTTATTCTTAGGAGGCTGGGAGGAAGCGTCGTCCTTGCCCTTGCTCAGAAATTCAAAGCAATGACTAGTTAAAGTGTGGGATTCAGAGTGAGACCAGTTTGAGTCACCGTGGGCCTCATTTTTCTCATCTGTGAAACAAGGATCATACAGTAGGAGCGGGGCCAGTGAGAGAGCGAGGTGCAGGTATAAAGACCCGCAGAGTACAAGAACCATGATGGTGGAGGGGAAACATCCCCAAAAACACCTTGGTCACTAATTAAACAAGGATTTGAGTACTGCATGCTTTGTAGGCATCATCTAATACTAAGAACAATCCTATAAAAGCAGGAAGTTGAAGCATAGAGAGCTTCGGTAAATTGCCTGTAGAACGGCAGGGGTGGGACTATGGGATTAGAGCCAGTTCCAGTTTATCTCCCATCCTCAGGGCATTCACACACCCAGCTCCTGTGAGAGGAGAGGAGGGGAGCAGAAGTCACCACCAGAAGGGTCGGGGTGCTGGGTGGGGGGAGGGGAGAGTGAAGTCTGAGACAGCAGGCCTTCTCCTGTCCTCATATTCCAGACCTGCATCCTCTACCCCAACAAGCAAACCTCCTTTGTATATCTGTCATCCATCCATCCAACACGCTGTTATCAAACATCTTTAGCTCCAGGCAAGGTGCTGGGTGCTGAAGAAAGATGAGCTGACCCTTGGCCAGCCTTTCAGCCACCCTGTGACCAAGCCAGAACATAGGGCATTAACAACAACATGGAACGGTGATGGTGCAGAGGTCAACATGGGCTGCGGCACAAACACAGAAGGAAAGGCCCCTGGAGGGGATGACCTGAGCGGGATTCTGAAGGATAAGGTGCAATGGGCCAGGGGAAGTGGAGGAAAAAGAGTGGACCAGGCAGTGAGAGAGACCAGGTCAGCAGCAGTTCAGTAGGGTCCAGGGGATTTATGGCAGAGTAACTGAGGCACCGGTCCTGGGTCTTGAACCCTGTTCATATCAGTTAATGTCTTCGTGACTCATTGTTCTCCTCATGAGAATTTAATGAGTTAATGAGAAGCCCTTAAATATGCCTGGCGCATGGTAAATGTTCTGTTCACTGGCAGTTGGGGTTGCAGCCACTTTGGCTGTGTGGGTGGGAGTGTAGGCTCATGTGCCTGTGTGTGGTTAAGGGGCAAGATTATGAAGGGCCTTCTAAACTAAACTAAGGGACTGTCCCACTTAAAGCTTTATTCCCTACTCACTTATCTTGGCAGGCTCTGAGACACCCTTTTCTATCACCCTATCACCCTCTGTCCCCATGCAGTGTTCTCACCCCCAGACCCCATCTGTTCCCTCACCACTTCTTCCCCTCTGCTCACCCTCACTCCAAGGCTCAGAATATGAATAATCATCTTCCAATTCTATGCAATGAATGGTCAACAGAGGGTGGCAGAACCAGACACCTGGGATCCTGATCTCAAAACTATTAATAGATGCCATCTCCCTTCTAACAGAAGTCTCATTTTGCTTTCATTAGCATGACAAAGGGAAAGAAGCAGGAAGCTTGCCCAGCAGAAGGGTCTATATCCAAACCCGTTCTGAGCTTGACTTGGTCTGCTTCAGAGAATCAACCAGTCAGCCTTGTCACTTCGCTTTTGCCCCCTTTCATGAGTTGAATAGTCTCCTTGAGCAGACATCAACAGGCTGGTTACAGTTTCTCAGGGCTGTGGCCTTCATGTTCATTGGCCTACCCCAAAGGCTTTGGCAAAATATTGGTGATGCCCATCACTAGCAGAATTAAATGTTAACTCTTTGGCATCTCCTCAGACCCTCCATAGTCCTTCCTGGTTTGCTTCTTCAGACTCACCCTCAAGTCCAGTCTTCCTGACTCACAGGACTCTTACATGGAAGTCAAATTAACACCTAGCTATGATTCTACAAATGTTTGTGTCTTTAGATTCCTTTATCTCAAGGAGGAAATGAGGTTACTCGGTCTGGCACCGTTTTTCTTAGGGTGTGTTCTGTGATGTTCAGTACCCCACCCAGATCTCCCCTTACCCCTCTGGATTCCTGGCCTCTACTGGCTTGCCATGTACTTAAAACAAACCACCACCAACAAAACCACCTTTACTGATATTATTCACATACCAATTCACCCTTTTAGAGGGATTGTAACTGAGTGGGTTTTATTCATCCAAAGTGTATTAACTATCACCACTAACTCCAGAACATGTTCCTCATCTCCCAAACAAAGATGTGGTGACCCATCGCAATCACTCTCCACTCTTCTTGGCAACCACCCATCTATGTCCTATCTCTATGAATTTGTCTATTCTGGACATTTTATGAAACCATATCAAGTGTGGCCTGTTGTGTCTGGCTGTGTATGTACTCTTAATGAATCTTCAAACTGGAGGTAGAAGTTTCCCTACTATACTTGTGTCCCAGGCTTCTGTGTCATTTAGCAGTAGCCATTGACTCAAGAAAATTGACACTTCAGAACTATTAGGAGACCTATCTTCTCACTATATACTGATACCTATATCATAGGAATAAAAAGCACAGTCTCTCAGCAAAACCTCTGGCTAAACTACCGTGGCTAGTGTGTCAACGACAACACCAACACTCGTATTTATTTAAAAGTATTTTTTTTATTTAACTTTAATTTCTGAGGTAAAATACTTTTTTCTTTCAACTTCCATAACAAAATACAGAGCTATCAGATACCCCTGGAAAAAAATATGTATATTATACATATATTTCTATAACATTACATCATATATATAATATATATGCAAAAATTTGAAGACTTTATAGAAAGCGGAACATCTAAAAGGCACTGCACAATGGAGTTAAGATTACTTACATTTTATGTACATATACACACTTTATTCTGCTTAAGCTAACTAGTGAAGTCATCTTTCACGTGTGAATATCTCACAATTCCCTGCATCACAATTTTATAACTCAAATAATGCCTAAATATTTAAAAACAAATTAAATCGTAACTTTTTTTTCAACAAGAAACTAACAATGGAACAGTTTTTAAAAGACTGGATCAAAGTTCTTTTTAACAGAATTAAAATTTCATTACTGTTTATTAACAAAAAGCACAAACATAATTATGGAATAAATAAAAAGGGACAAATAGCCAACTCACTCTTACCCACTTGGTGAGAAGTGAAATACAACTATATTTTTAATGCTTCTGAAAGTTTCTTGGCCCATGGAGGACTAGGGTGCAGTAATTCCCTGTATTAGTGAGTTGGGTTTAATGCAGTGCAGCTTGAAAATGGGGAGGGGGGGTGAAGGGACTGGTGAATTGTTTAAGATTGACCTCTACTATTGTCTCTTTTCAATAGTTAAAAAAAAAAAAAAAAGCAAACTGCATGAACAAATTCTTGATTATAAGACTTCAAGATTCATATTTGTAAAGTTTTAAACATTTGGCACAGCAAATTCAAAAAAACTGGGGGAGAAAATAGGTCTGGTTTTACCCCCCCTTTTTTCTATCTGCTGTTGGACAGTGATAAGATGCTCACAGAAAAGTAAAGGCTGGCTTTGTGCCAGGCTGGTGACAGGTGCTGCCAGGAGCAGGCTGGGGGGGGAGAGGAAGGGGAGAAAACTCCCACCCTCTCACCCCAGGAAGACCCACCTCCTCATTCCCTGGTCCACTTCCTGAGCAAGCCAAAGTTTGGCTCTGTTTATAAAGGACCCTCCCCTCCACCCAACCCCAGTGTGCAGTGCAAATTGACCAACAATTTACTGGTGGAATGGCAAAGGAAACAGTTAAACACCAAATAATTTCTTAAAGCCAAAAACATTTCCATGGAATTGGACATTTTTTGAATGTTTTTTTTTTCAAGTGTAAAAGCATTGACTTTTTGTTCAAACAGAAGCAGCATCTAGGAATTCTGGCACTTGGGTTCTAGGGGGGTTACAGGTATGCACATGGATTTCTTTCCCTCTTATTAAAAGGCCTCATGTTTCTATTCCTGAGTTAATACCGACACCTGCTGGCCCTCCCCTCTAGTGGGCAGGGAGGGTGGCCAGCCAGCCTCCCTGGTTAGACTGGGCAATGACAAGAAGACATACCTTCTCCACATGCCCGGGCTTCTTTCCGATTAGAGGTAAGTTGAGGTGCAGAGAAAGTAACTGATGAAAACATAACCAACCGAAGATCCCTTGAACGACAGCCCTTCGCAGCCTGACCAAAGCCTGAGTCCTTAGGGACCGCTGTCAGTCCGTTTCCCAGGGAAAGACAGGTTACTCATGGAATTTGAATTAAACAAGGGGGAGGGCACTTGCCCCCAAAATCTGCATGATGGACTCTGTCATCCCAAACCACCTAGTAACTCACTCACATGCTCTAACCTTCCCTGGGCCCCTCATGCATGCTCTCCTTTAAAAAAGGACAGCCACCTGCCAACATTGGAAGACAACCCTCCAATGCTTCTTAGTTCACTTAGTTAAGGTGGAGTCAGGAATTTCTCCATTCCTAGACAATATCCCTGTGCCCACTCCTTACTACTCTCAGATATGGAGTTACTTCTCTTCCTGCTGCCAGGTGGATTTGAGCCACAATTAGATATTCCCACACACTAGAGTTACATGGGCACATGCATGCAGAGCTGGCTGTGGCTTCTCTCTCTGCCTCTGGTCCAGGATCCTTCCCCTTCATAGAAAACCAGTACTTTCCCATCCCTTTGAAGTTAATGGAACAATTCCTCATAGTCTGTAAACTGGAGTCTCACATAGGATAGTTAATTAATCACGAATATTAGAATAGGCTAGGGAAATGGTATGGCTAGAATGGTAATGCCACAACAGGGCAGACACCAACTTTCATTCATATCAGGCCTTTTGACATCTGGTTGCTTTCGTTATCTAACTATTCCTTCAGGTTCAATAAGCCTCCACTTGTACCCCCAGCTACCTTCTGCATTTCTAGGTATCATCTGTCTTTCACTCCCATAATCCTGCCTTTTTACTATCCATCCCAAAAACATCTAGAGAGGATGACTAAGTATTAGCTCAAAATTTAATGGTGCTTTGAAATTCTTGGGATTATCTGACAAGTTGTTCACGTCCTTCTATAGGTTTCTTTTGACAGACCCGTATCATGTTAAAGTATGTTCACTGTTAAGGCTTGACTTAAGAAAATGGCGAGAGAGCCAGACAACAAAAACACAACTTCATCAGTGTCATGCCTCTCCGTGAACTCGCTACAGCCATATTCTGGTTTGGCTCTCCAGACCCACGATGGAAAAGGAAAAACAAAGGTCATTTTTGTGTTTGTTTTGTTTGTAAAGGCGTTGGGTTACTTCCTCCTGCCCTCTTCTTTCCTCCCTGAATAAGAGTTTACAACTCCTCATGGCTTCTTAACAGATGAAGGTGAAAAGTCCAAAAAATTCACAGCATGGCTTACTGTCGCCACCACACAGCCAGGTTCAGTGCCTGCCCACTCTAACTGGCAGTATGTTTCATTTTCCTGAAAACATTTTTTAGAGGAAAAGAAAAAAATGCCAAACAACGAAGGAAAGAAGAAAAAAAGCAACATCTGAACACCCCAATCGCCCTATCCCAGTAAGACCGAGAATATCGTATTCTCCCCCTGAAATAATTACAAAGAAACATCTCAGGCAAATACTGAGCATTAATGGTCTCTCACCTGCCAACCATGCCCTTTCTCCTTTATATGTAACTCTCCGAGCAAAATAAACTCATTAATGGCTTTCCTATATATAAATACAGTAGAAAAGAAAGAAGTCTGGAACCTGAACATCATGGGGCCAAACAGCGTCTTGGCCCTTTGGGAGTTTGTTCAGAAAGTATCAGCCTCAACAGGAAATAAGAGGCCCTTTCGCCTCTCAGTCCAATACCCTTCCTGTGTCCTACCCACCAGGAAAAAAAGTGTGTTCATGTCTCACCTAATTTATACAACAGAAGATGACCAACCCCATTCCCCAAACATAAAAATACAAGTCTATGCCACTAGAATGATCAAACCGGCTAATTCCCTCCCCCCACCCCGAAATCTTGCTACATAAATACATGTGTGTGATTATAGTATAAACAGCTCCCAATCCACTTGCAGTTCTAAGCATCAGCCGCTGCCGTGGCCAGGCCCTGCGGTCCGGACCCATTCCAGAGGAACTTGCCGTCCTTCCTCAGCTCTCGGGCTTCGGGGTCGTCATTCCAGCGGCGCTTCAATCGAAGCTTGGGGGGCATCAGGGCATCTTCTTTCTTCTCAGGCGCACTGGGCTCTTTGCTGGGCCTATCTTCGCTGTCTTCAGTCACCTCTAGGGGTTCTTTGCTTGGGGTGCTAATGGGTACAGGAGGCCAGACAGGTGGTGCCTCTGGGCGGGCAAAGATGGCGCCTTTTCCCTCCTCCGTGGTCCTGCTTGGCACAGTGCTCTCTTCCGGAGAGTGCTCCTCCTTCTCTTGGGCCGAGTGCCCGAGACTCTCAGGATCCTTTTCAGAGGCTGGCTCGACCTTAATTCTTGGGGGCACAGGCGCCATGGTGGGAGCAGTGACGGGTGCCGAGTCCTCCCTGTTCTCTACCCTCTCCCGGTTCTTGCGCCCAGCTGGTGGGGGCTGCAGCTTGATAGAAAACGGAGTTGACTCTTCGGGATGCATTTGGCACTGCAGTGGTGGAACCATGAGCCCCGGGTAACGGGGAAATGTCCGGGGACTCAGATGGTAGTTGAACACAGAACAGGCTTGAGAATGAAGGTAGTGTTTCATTTCCTCAGGGTTGAAGGAAAAGCAACTGCTGCTGGTGAAAGGGCTCAGGCCTGGGGATGGGCTATAGGAGAAGATGGTGGGAGTCAGGGAGAGGGCTGGTGAAATGGGAACATTGAGGACACCTCCTCGGCCAGGGATTGGAGAGACGGCGAAGGGACTGTGGGGGTCAGGGTAGATCCCTGGCCTGCTGAACAGAGGAAGCATGATGTCAGGCTTGCGTTTCTGATGGCCAATTCCTCCTCCACCAACAGCATTCCGGGAGGACATGAGATCTACACCCCGGCGCCAGTCAGCGGTTGAGCCATCCTCCAGCTCCGAGAGCTCCGCCTTTCTGTCAGTGCCATTACTCAACTCCTGCCCGGCAGTCAGGGAGCTGGCAGAGAACCGCCCCGGCTGCACGTCACCAGTTGGAGAATGAGTGTCCAGAGGAGGGAAATGGAACCGGGAAGAGGCTGTTGGAACTGGTGGCGCACTCTGGGGAACCACGCCTGTGGAGGAAGAAAAGACAAAAGGCTACCTCAGGTCTGGTAATTCATTACCATCACTTTTACTTACACTTAACAAATACAAGATGTCTCTCTCCTTCCCTTCTACTCTCTCTAAAAATCAATGGAAAAATCTCCTTGGGTGAGGATTAACAACAACAACAAAAAAGACCAAAGACCCTGTACCTAACATATATGGATACAAACAAGGCATGGCCTAAGAATAAAAACAGATTTTAAAACAAAAACCAGGTTTATTAAGTTCTTAGGGTATATGTCTTATCAATTCTGATATACAATCACCATTTTATAGAAATTTAAATGTTTCAATCTCTCCAAATCTATATTTCTCTAACAAACTTTAGGTAATGATCTCTATTCCAAACCTGCTTTCAATACTTTTCAAGCATGGCGAAGGTTGGGTGAAATCCAGGACCTAACACTCACTCTACCAAGGCCACCTGCGAAAATGTGAAGCTCTAAGCTACCAACAGCATGCTAGACGTGTCAACTTCAGACGCTCACAAGTTCTCAACTTCCCAAAAGGCCCTTCTGATAAAAAAGGGGCTAAGGAAGGGTTGCAAGCCAAGGCCTCAGAGGCTCTTTGGGCTCCTAGAAAAAATTAACGATATCTATCACTGAAGATGTCAGGAGGGCTCTTCACATTCTGAGGTAGAGATAAGGGAGAAGGAAAAAAGGGCAAGAAAAAGGTAAGAAAAATCCAAATAAGAAAAAGTATGGTGATGTAGAAGAAACAAAAAGGTGCATAAGACAGTGTGGTTAGGCATCACTCCCAAACAGCTGCCTGCTGCTATTTGTATAATGGAGTCACCCTCAGATAGGACTCTGGAGGCTGCTGGTGTGCGCAAGACTAGCTTTCTAGGCACATGTGACGGAGTAACACTGCCAGAGCAGCATTTCCCAAACTGACGCTTCCCAGAAAAGGCAGGGCTTTTTTCCCTGCAGCTACCGACTGAATCTTACAGTTAGGTTTCAGGAGAGCCACGAGGGTCCCAGGCCAGAAGTTTCTCTTCTCCCAGTCTATTACAGTGGCAAAAATTCCATTATTTTTGAGTCTTTTCTATCTTGATTTTTTATAAGAGCACATCAAATCAAAAGTAAAAAAAAGATAAATAAAAAAATCCCCATTTCTGTGTGCTCTGAGGGACTGAATAACATTAAGCATAATGTGAGAAGGTCCTGTCTCCTAAATAATTTTATCTTAGAATAGCATCAGCTCATAGCAAAATGCATGTAAGTATTTTTCAAAATAAGTAATTTGTTAGCTAATAATCATGGTTCAAAAGTAGTAACTTTAAAAGGTATATATCATTTGAATACGGACCATATATTAGATAATAGTATTTTAGAGCAACAAACTTCCTGGGAGATCCATGCTGAAGTACAGGGGGGTGAAGTGTTATGTTTGCAACTTAATCTCAAGACTTAAACATGTGGCTATTCACTGCTTTACCAATTTTTCTGTAGGTTTAAAGTTTTCCAAAATAAAGGTGTATATAAACAACTTGGGTGGTGGTGGGAGGCAGAATGTCTGAACTGGTATATCCTGCCCCACACTCCTGACTGGCTATCATTTTTTTTTTCTTTAATTCTTTTGGGGTTATCATTTTTATTAGTATCTTCTGAATCGTTTTTTGTTTATTATGTAAGTAAATATTTAAAATATATTTAATATTTTACAGGACGCTTTTAATGGTAAAAATGAGATATTACATGGAGAAGTATTTTTCAACACTATTCAAATGTTAAGTACTCCCCACTAAATTGTTAAAAGATTGTGGGGAAGGGAGAACATTCACTTTACTTTTACTCCATGAACTTCTGTATTATTTGGATAGGTTACAACCAGCATGTATTGCCTCATTCTTAAAAACACACCGATCAAAACAGACCAACTGCATCAGCCCACCATCTAGACACGATCTCTCTGGCCTCCAGGATCTAAATTAGGGGTGTCGAACTCAATCAGAGAAGGGGCCAAAATCTAAAATCCAGCCTAAATCGCGGGCCGAATGGTTTACTGAACAGTCATAAACTGTCATTGTGATGGAAACGCAGCGGAGTGCAGTGATGACAGCGCGGTGCGGGCCACATTGCAAGGCCTGGCGGGACGGATTTGGCCCGCGGGCCTTGTGTTTGACACATGTGATCTAAATCCAAACAGCCCTCCTTTTAGGGTGCTGATCACATTCGACATTCTGAATTGTTTTAAGCCTACTATATCTTATCTCTCCTGATAAACTGTAAGTTCCTGGAGGAGAGTGCCCCTCCGGTAATTTTTTTTTTTTCTGTCTCTAGGGCTTACTAAATTATGTGTTGACTAAATGAACTGAGTCTCAATCCAGAGAAGAATGGTTGATTTAGTAAATAAAAATTGTGAATTTCAGACGCTCTATTTCTCAGGTTTTGTTTCCTAAGAAGCTGTTCGACAGGTAACTGTATTCAAACCACCCTGATCAATCTTTACCTTTGATGTCATCCTTAATTTTATCATTTATAAAATTACATTGAGACATACACTTTGCGGAGTTGAATGAAATAAGTCACCAAACACTACGGCAACTTTGTTAAGTAGATGTATGTTCAATAAATGTATTTCTTGTCATAAAAAGTTAAACTGAAACAACATTTGGTCTATCTGGGTAAAGTGCTCTATGAACAAATGACATTCTTTGGAGCTATCTGTATCCAGGAGTAAACAACTAAGCAGCGTGCCTAAAGGAAATACACACTGCTCTGCTTTTCCTGTGACTTCCCTGATTAGGATCTCGAGCTTAGTCGAGGATCAATGTTGGTTCCAAGGCCTTCAGGAAGAATGGGTTGTGCCAGGCTACTACTGTAAGGTCTCTAGACCAGAGTCTTCACAAAGTGAGAGTCCAGATCTCCTTTCCTTGGAAAAGCATATTACTCCCAAGGGCTGATGGATGCCCCATTCCAGGTTACCCAATGGCTAGACTTCTGAGTTTGCAATGGACAAGAATGATTGAAAGACAGAACAAGACCATTAAAGCCTTTTTTTGGGGAGCGGTATGGCAGGGCATGAACACCAGCACCTTCTTCAAAATTGCTGGTGTGCCTACTTAATTATTTTCGTTGCTACTTCGTAACTGTAATTTTGTTACTGTTAATGAATCGAAATGTAAATATCTGTGTCTTAGGCTCTACAGGATCACAGGCCAGGCCCTGATCTAGGCATTACATTAGGGATAAAACAATAAACAAAACAAAGCCCCTGCTCCCATATAGCTTCTATTCTAGTGAGAGTGTAGAGCCTAAGACCATCGGAAAACACATATACTTACATTTCGATTCATTAACAGTAGCAAAATTAGTTATGAAGTAGCAACAAAAATAATTTTATGGTTGGGGGGGGTCACCACAACCTAAGGAACTGACTCAGTGGATAGAGCGTCGGCCTGCGGACTGAAAGGTCCCAGGTTCAATTCCGGTCAAGGGCATTTACCTTGGTTGCGGGCACATCCCCAGTAAGGGGTGTGCAAGAGGCAGCTGATCGATGATTCTCTCTCATCGATGTTTCTAACTCTCTATCCCTCTCTCTTCCTCTCTGTGAAAAATCAATAAAAAATATTAAAAAAAGAAAAAAAAGAAAAAAGAAAAAAAGAAATGAGGAACTGTATTAAAGGTTGAGAACCACTGCTCTAGATGTACAAGGAAGGAGCAAGAGTGAAAAATAGAGGAAATGGAATTCCAGTGGCTAGAACAGGTTTGATTTCCTAATGCCTCTCCCTTAGGCACAAGGAAAGAAAACAGGTTGTAATCAGAGAGATACATTCCAATACTTTTTTTTTTTTTAAATGTATGCCCCAGGGACTGGAGGGAGTGGCTATAAGATGGAAATGTAATGATAGCTGCATCAAGCTAAAACTGCTCTAACTTGTTGTGTGTAGTAATTAGGTATCTGCAATGGATCTCAGCATTATATTCTCTCAGCCACACCCCCGTTCTAATTTTTCAGGTTGTTTCCAACTTTTCTGTGAGAAGTCGTAATACTGCAGAAACACAATTACATTTCTTTGCCTTAACGTACAATGCCACAAAGACTGTGCTGATGGCTGGTTAGAAACTGGTCAATACAATGTTTTATTGGGCATGATTATGCTTTGTATTAACAAACAAGCACACTCTTATAAGAGACTACTTTCTGCTCTGAGAGAGGCAGACCCGAAACCTCTGTGAAGAGCTGTGGTGAAAGCTGTCACCAGAGATCCTAGAGGGGAAACCTTGCTGCACTTGAGAGAAGGTCAGCTAGGCCCCAAATCTTGTTCTGAGGTGCTGCTGGTACAGATCAAAGACACTGCTTTTCACTGTACACATATGAACATCCCCTTCTGTGATCAAGGATGCTGTGGTTTTGATGATATTCACTTGATAAGGGAAGGTTTGGTAGTTTCACAGAAAATCGGAAGTACTTGTAGAAACAGGTTCTTATCTATGAAAGAGTCACTGGATAGAATGTTAAAACTCTTGAGTCCTGAACTTAAAGATCAACACAAACCTACAGAACATCATTCCTAAAGAGGATAGAGTAATAGTATCTAGGAAATTACAAATATGCAAAAAAGGGAACCAAAACAACAAACCAAACCCAATTTATCTTGATGCTGCAGAGCTTATCACTCTTTTGGTATGAGAGGAATGGAAATACCTGAGCAAGAACAGAGGCAATTCAAGGGGTCACATTATTTTAGTGTTTCTGAAAACTCTTTCCCGCCTTAACTGGTTTGGCTCAATGGATAGTCAACCTGTGGACTGAAGAGTCCCAGGTTCGATTCCAGTCAAGGACATGTACCTTGGTTGTGGGAACATCCCCAGTAGGGAGTGCTCAGGAGGCAGCTGATTGATGTTTCTCTCTCATTAATGTTTCTAAATCTCTGTAAAAAAAAAAAAAATCAATAAAATATATATTTTTTAAAAATTATTTCCCCACCAAGTGACTTTGCATCTTACCACTTGACCGAATGTTGATGAACGGGTAGTTGGGCGTCACCAGCTTGTTAAAGTTAAATTTATAAGTAAATCTTTTCCCTTTTGTTTTATGAAGGATCCTCTTGTTGTAATAGTATCTGTAAAAACAGAAATGTATGTCAATCTATCTTCTACCTACTGACAGTTAGTACACTTAGGTAATCACTAAGAGTTACTTGCAAACATCACTATCATTCTTTCGCTGATCTGCCCTAAGGTTAGGGCTTGGAAGACCTCGGTGCTTACTTTTCATTCAATTTTCATTCAAATTTCAAAGTTCTGATCATTGGCTAGAGCTTTACAAAAACAATCTCATTTAGGATCCTGAACACATATCCTAGCCCCAACTACCTTTCTTTTCCATCTCTCTCTAGTTCCAATTCTAAAGTACATTTCCTTCCTGTTCCATTATGTGTCACTAACTAGTTTCTCTTTTCTGCCTTACCCAGCTGGGGACAGACAAGGATCTTGGGACACCTAATGTGGCTAGTCTAGAGGCCATCGATGAAGGAATGTGGAACTGTTTTATGGTGGCAGGCCAAACAATGGTACACCCTGATCTGGAAAACAGCACCGAACTTGGCCTGCTTCCCTCTTAAAGGAGATGTGAGTGGCTCCAGCAAAGCTGCCATCCACATTTTACATTCAGGGTCACTAAGAATGAAAAACCTCATTCAGGGAGCTTCAATGTACCCAGAACCTTTAGCCTCGCATCTATTCATTATCACGGGTCATAAATTACCTTCTGGTCCCTTGAGGGCTAAGGGTTATGAAATATAAAGACTGACAAGTGGAAAAGAGAAGCTGAGAAAATTTATAGATCAATCCTGGACATGCTGGAGCAACTTATGGACTGACAACTGAACTCACAGATATGGTTCCTAAATCCTGTAGCTAGGTCAGTACCATTCAGTGAATCCTCCTATGAGTTTGCTTCACTCTTTTTCTAGTTTCTTCCAGAAAAACCTAGAGAAGAGAAATTCTAATAGATTTCCAATAGGGGAAGTCTAAACTAATCTTCTGGATCATAAATGAGCTACAATCCACATTTTACCACACTCTTTTACCCACTACAGAACAGAATCAGCTGTCTTTCAGAAGCCAGTGCCAACAACATTGGAATTCCTTCCTGCGTATAACCAAAGATACGCCTGTTCTCCTTTTGTGCCTCTGCTACTCAGATTCAACAGCTCTTTTGCTCCCATTTGAAAACTACACATTATTCACTTCGGTAATATAGTCTCTTGTCGCCTGATACTCTTTTCCCCTAACATTCATCACATTGCTTGGTCTCCTTTCAACCTACTGACACCATGGATTTGGGGATCCTTTCTGTTACCTGAGGGCTCGGCTCAGCTTGTCATAATTCATCTGTGGTTTGCACTTCCTGCGGCCCCAGAGGCGGGCCACCTCGTCCGGATCCTTGATGACAAATTCCCCGTACTCTCCCTGCTGCCAGGCGATGACATGGCGGAACTCTTCCTTCTGCAGCAGCTCCAGGATGAAGTGCCACAGCTGGATCTGCCGGGAGCCTGGGGAGGACTCTGTTTTATAGGCCCAATCAGGAAACTGATACCCTTTAATGTGAAAAGGGCAAGATCAAAGTTGTCAGGAGCTAGGTACATGCATTCCAGTATCTCTGACTTCACATTCCAAAGCTCAGAATCTCTAGAGTGCTGTGCAAATATGCTATCAACACCCTGGGGCTAACCACAACAGGGGAGAGGAAAGCACAGAGGTTACCTTCCCTTAAGACAATCACCAAATCTGATAAGAGTTTGGTAGCAGCTACCAGGTGTCCTAATCTCTTACCCTTCCATACAGTACTTAACCTCACCCCTCCTTTCTACGAAGGCAGGAAAGTTCCAAAAGGAACAAACAGGAAAGATAAATGAATGTTTTAGGAAAATACAGCTGAAAACCCTTACCCCCATGACTAGAACTGTCTCTCTAACAGAAGAGAGATTCTGAAGCCTGGGATAAAAATGTTGTGACCAGACATGTTAGATATACAAACATGGGAAACAAGCCTACAACTGTCCTAGCAGGATCCACCCAGTCAAGAGGCTGTCAGTCATGGGCTGGCATTTGTGAACAGAGCCCAAGTGGAGAGAGAAAAAGAACCATGGAGGGACATTCCAAGTAGACCATAGATGATTCACTTCTGCTCACCTCCACCTCCTTCTGGCTTTTCCACGATGCTACAGCCCGCTTTCATTTTCACCCTCCTGCTGAGAGAATATAAAGCCACATCAATTACCTTTTCATTACCTTCCTAGGATTTCTGGCACAGCCTTTCCCCAACTTCCTTTCTTTATCTTTTCCTCCTTATGTAACCCCTCTTTCTTTCCAACCTGTCACCTCCAAATTGCTAATCCTCAAGTCATCAAATGATGGTCCTCAGGTCATCGGCTTCAAAGGTCATAATTATCTTTCACCTGACTTGAAACTACGTAGGGGGAATCACTATCTTTAAAATTTGCTGTCTTCTTCCCCATCAGCCCTTTGGAAAGTAAGGGTACCAGTTAAATGGGTCCAAAGAGGCAGCCAAAATAAGCCAGTTTGTCTTCCATTACTAGACAGGTCCAGATGCCAAGATATATATGCTTGAGCTCACCCAGATGTACCAGTTTAAAGAAGAGGGGCGGGGGGAATCTAAATACAACTGATTGCCATTCAGGAAAGAACATCTGATTTTGATTTATTTTACTGAATTATGTGAGACGGGAGAAGGAAAACTCTCAGTCAGAAACTGCCCCCTCCTCCTTGAAAAACATTCTGGGATACCGAGAGTAAACATATTGTGTGTACAGTTACTCTATACAAGAAGCACACACATTACCAAAATCTTTTTGAGAAAAAATTTACATTTCCTTCCTTTAATAGGGGGGAGGGGGAGAGAAAGGCAAGCATTTCTGAAAGCCTTTGTCCAAAAGGTGGAGGGAGTCTTAGTGTGATCTGAATTCACTCCGTCCAGATTTACAGCACCTCTATCCATTTCCCATTCCCGGCAGCGAGTAGCTTTGTATCAGTCCATCCTTGAGAGAGAGAGGTGGGCAGGAGAGGCAGATCTACCCTCCCTGCTCCCCAGGGTGGATGACAGGCCCTCGGCACCCACCTTTCCGGGGATCTGGAGGAAATGGAGGTGCCTCGATGGCCTCAGGGTGGAGTGGAGACAAATTCCTAGCCTTGGAAATTTCATCTAACCTAGGATTCCTCTATCCTTTGAATCGCGGCCTCCCCACCCCCCCCCACCTCAGCACACACATTAAGAAAACCAGCACGTTTTCTCCTGTTAGACAAGGGACAGAGGATGAGATAAACACCCCAGAGGAAGAGAACACTGACACACAGCCGCACACACACAAGACACACAATAACAAGGCCTCAGAAGCTGAGGCAGAAGCTTCCTCTCCAGCTGCTTCCATCTCCGTGTGACAATGAGGGAGGAAAAACACTCATTTCCCCGCGGCTCCAGGAAGCTGCCCTGGACGCCGACTCCTGGGTGGGAGGCTCCGTCCGATCGCAGGGCCTTTATCCGGCCGCAGGAATGGCCTTCCACCTCCGAGGCTCGGCCAAACCCCGCTGCCACAATAACTTGACCGGGAAGCTCTCTCCCCTGACAGCCCAGCTCCCGATCCCTAGGGGGTCGGTTCCCCCCCCCCCCCCTTAAAGATTCCCCTCCCAGGAGCCCGGAGGCGCCTCTGCAGAGGTTCATACATTCCCTTGGAGGACGCTGTCCAAGGAGGGCCACTCACCCCGACTCTGCACACCCCACCGAGGCCCCTTGCGCCCTGCCTCCGGCGCCGACCACCCCCGAGGAGTGAAGCAAGCACAAGCACAGAGTCTGGCTGGGCTGCGGCTCCCGGCTCGGCTCGCGGCCCGCACAGCCTCGTTTCCGCTTGCTTCCCGGGAGAGTCTCCCCAGCCCCGTGGCACGATCGCTGCCCTGGGTCCCCGCCGCCGCACAGACACCCGGGCGCCCTCCCTCCCTCCCCGATCCTCCTCCCCGCCCTGGGTGAGGCCAGCGAGGCTGGGACGTGGCCCGCCGGGCATCCCCGGCCCCAGGGATGCCGATCCCGCCGAGGTTCAGGGGGGCCCATCGGAGGGGGGTCGGGCGGCGAGGCCAGGACTCACCTCTCCCCGGCAAGGTCCGTCTTCGGTCCGGTCTCCTCCGCGGCGGCGTCTCCGGCTCCTCCTCATCCACCCCAGCAGGAAGTGACCTCCGCGGCTGCTGTCGTCACTTCCATCCTCCGCAGACGGGGCGGGGAGGGGGCGGCGCCCTCCCCGCGGGTGTCCCGGCCGCGCCTCCCTCCCTTCCCGACGGCGGTCGGGCGGACGCCGACTTCCGCCCGCACTCCGCCCCCCGGCGCCGCTCCGGCCCCGAAGCCCACGTCGCCGCCCGGCGCACGATGCTGCCCGAGAGGGGCGCGTGCGTCACGCTGCGGGGGCACGTTACGCACGCTCACGTCGCGGCCCCGCCCGGCCGGCCGCGGGCAAGTGTGTGAGGCGGCGGCGCGGAGGGTGTGTGGCCGTGACGGCTAACCCCGCACCGGCGAGGCGCGGCCCCGAGAGCCCCCCGGGGCCGCGGGAGGGGGCGTCGCCGATCTCCCGGGAAGGGTCCTGGTGCCGGGAGAAAGCCTGCCCCGACCGCGGTGACCTCCCAGAGGAGAGTGTGCACAAGGACCCCAGGCTTGGGGGGCGGGGGGGGGGGGGGCGTCCTCTTCACTCCTACCCCCTTTCATTTACCCCAACCCACTTTTCACTTACCCCCACCCCCTTTCATTTACTCCCACCCCCCTTCCATTCACTGAGGAAAGAAGCCGCGGAGCTTTCTCTGCGGAAGGAAGTGTGGCCAATTCCCCTCGTATCCCCATATCTCTGCATTTAGGTTTTAAAAGATATATCTTACTGATTTTTACAGAGAGGAAGGGAGAGGGATAGAGTTAGAAACTGATCAGCTGCCTCCTGCACCCGCCCCCCCCCCCGCCCCCAACCCCACAGGGAATGTGCCCGCATCCAAGGTACATGCCCTTGACCAGAATCGAACCTGGGACCCTTCAGTCCGCAGGCTGATACTCTATTCACTGAGCCAAACCGGTTTCGGCTGCATTTAGTTTTAATGTGTCCACATCTAAGCAATTTGAAAGTCTCCCTCGGTCATTCACAGACCTCTACCCTTTCTCTCCCCTCTACCTGTCGTCCCTGCGGGAGCAATGACAAGTAACTTGTCCAGAGCGTGTCTGTTCTCCCAGTCCGGCTCAGGGCTCAGTGGTTACAAGGCTCCCAAGCACTTCGGTTTCATCTCCATCCCCAGCCCCATGGGGCTGAGTGGTGTCCAGGCTTAGTCTTGCCAGAGGCAGGAAAAAGGGAGGGTGAAGGTCATGAAAGGTTAAATAAATTAGGATAAAGAATACAAATGAGAAGTGAAGAAGAGAGATGGGATTGAAGAAATCTGAACAGCCATTTGGGATAAAGCAGTCCACTTTGTCCTGTTACCGTTGTTCTGCTAACTCCTGAATGCCACCAAGACCATGGAAACGTTATCATGGTAAGTTATTAGAAAAATTCCAGTTTGGGATTTGCTCCCAGCTATTCTCTAGTTCAGTATTTTTCAACCTTTTTTGGGCAAAGGCACACTTGTTTCATGAAAAAAATCACGAGGCACACCACCATTAGAAAATGTTAAAAAATTTAACTCTGTGCCTATATTGACTATATATAAAGTAATTCTCTTGAATAGGAATCAAATAAACACAAAGAAAGTATTTTATAATTACTTTATTATGAAATATTAAGTAAACAAAATAGTGAAAAATTATAAAATTCTTGTCTTGTCTGTACCTACGGCACACTAGTGTGCCGCGGAACAGCGGTTGAAAAACGCTGCTCTAGTTGTTGATAAATGAACTAGCATCCTGGGCCCTTCTGAGCTTAACATTGCTCATTTAAAAAGAAAGGATAATAACATTGGTGATATGAGGTCTTTTCTAGTTAGAAAATCCTACCGTGGAGTTGAATAAAATGACCAAAAATTTTAGCGCCGTAGAATGGACTATCAATGCCTGCAACTACACCAAGAGCTCCTTGCATCTATTGTAGTAGGAACTGTCTATCCTTTGTATCTTCCCAACAGCACCCAGAGCTATGTCAGATGTTTGGTTGAACAGTCTTTTTTCAGTTATTGGGGTTTAGCTCAGTGACATCAATTGTAGTCAGGTCCTAGTGCCTTCATCAGCTAGCTGTGTGACTGGTTAAGTTACCTAACCTCTCTGTGTCAACTTCTCATCTTGGGTGAGCATAATATGTATAGTATCTACTCAGGCGGTGGTATGAAATGTGTTTGTGTTTTTTTTTTGAAATGTGTTAATACATGTAGAGTGGTTAGAGCATGTAGAATGGCATGTGGTGAATATGGCAGATGAACAAATGTTGGCAAAAATCATAATTAAAAATCATTGCGTTAAAAATCCTCACATTTTCATACCACCCATGCAAGTCTTAGGAATTGTGTCAACTTGGAAGCCAAGGTGAGCAGCTTCTTCTGAAAGTCTGAGGTGACCAGCCTTTGGCTCAGGGTTCACATTGTCATGGTTAGAGCCAGCATGTAACCTCCAAGGGCCCTGTGTTTTCCAAAGAGCCAGAATTCTTCACCCGGGCTCCCCGTGGTTCTCCGCTGCGCCTTCTCTGACTAATTAGAGTCAGTGAGGACAACTTGAGTAAACACAATTAACAGAGACAAACAGGTCTCCCTACCTGGCTGGAGTCTGAGTTGATGTACGGAGAAATGTGGCTGTGCCAAGAAGAGCTCAACATAATTTCTACATTAGGAATCTCATCTCTGACCTGAAACTCAACAGGCGAATTGGAGTTTGATAAAGCAAACTGGAAATTCCTTCACCACTAGTGGGTTCAGATAAACGAGTTTTGCACCAGGAACTTCTTCTTTTTTAAATAAAGATATATATAAATTTTTTACCGAGAGGAAGGGAAAGAGACTGAGAGTTAGGAACATTGACGGAAGAGAAACATGGATCAGCTGCCTCCTGCACACCTCCCACTGGGGACGTGCTCGCAACCAAGGCACATGCCCCCGACCAGGATCAAACCTGGGACCCTCCAGTCCACAGGCCGACGCTCCATCTCCTGAGCCAAACGGGTTAGGACTGCACTAGGACCTTCTGTGATGGCAGTATCTGGGGAGATTTGGGTGGCTAGGGACTTCTTGCCCCCTGAATCCAAGGTTCCTATCCACTATCTCCTTCACCGCAGCACTGCCTGCCTTCTTGTCTGCCGCCGACTGGCTTTCACAATGTGGAGATTCTTCTGTTGCTGAAACAGGGAGAGCGTGAGCTTTCTGAAAGCATGGGGGTGGAAACACTTAGGCACAGTCTAGGAGTCAAGACAGGTTGTAATCTCTCTTGAATTTCCACTTGCTCAAAGCCTTCTTTGTCCACTGACACTGGCCTCTGCCCCACTTCCAACCCATCTTTATAATTGTCCCATAGGTCTAGGATAAGTTTCTGTTCTAAATCTCCCTTTCCCAACTCGGCTCCCGATGCAACAACGCTACTCCATTGCTTCTAAAATTTAAAAGAGAGAGAGAGAGAGAGAAAAAAAAGAACATCTAAAATTAATTTTACTTTAAAAACTCTTCCTGTCTTGGTGTGTGTGTGTGTATTGTGTATGTTTCTTCCCTGGCTCGCTTTTCTGTATGGCTTCTCTTTTTTATTTAAGAACTTAATATTTTCCACATTCCAAACTTTCCTGGCCATATACAGAGGGTGGCAGAAGTAGGCTTACAGTTGTTCATAAGAAAAGATTACAAATTGGTAAAGAATAATACAAGAATAAACTCTGTGTTTCACATACTTACAACTGTAAACCTGCTCCTGCCCACCCCTGTGTGATGTAAATGCCTTCCTTTCTCCTCCCCTGGTAGATCACTGTGGTTGATTTACTGGAGCAGATACTATCTGTGTGTTATGTATGTATTTGTTCTTCTAAGTGTGTTTGTCTTAGATTGCAGGCTCTCAGGGCTGTCTCTAGATCCCTGTAAGTGCCCAGGGCAGTTCTGTGTCATCATTTGAAATGCCTAATGATGATGATTTCCTTTTCTGTGCCATACGGGCTTATGTGCGACTGGCACTGGTTACTTCCCACCTCCCTCAGTGTTCTCTAAGTCTCCCAGCAAAAAGCCAGTAGCCTCTTTTCCCTAAACTGTGTTCTCTTTGAACTTGGATTCAGCAAATCTGAGTTTCATTCCTACTTCTGCCCTTTGCCACCTGTGCTTTCGACAAGTTGCTAAATGTCTCTGAGTGTGGCCTCCTCACCTTCATCTGTAAAACAGGGGACACTGTTGATGTCCTTGATGAGGACAGAGTATAGTAGCGGTTGAGGAACGCTTATAAAGGATGAAACCCTTTTACAGAGGTCAAGGATCATGATTACTCTGGCTGTCACTCCAGACCTTACACTGTGTTTGTTATCAAGAACTCAAAACTTGACAGCAGTTATCACCTCATTTCATAAACTTTGAGTGGATTTAATGTTTCAAACTTGGGTAGGAATCTAATGGAAAAGAATTTTGCCTTGAAAAATAGGGTTCTTGAGTTTTTCATCTAGGCACTGTTTTATAAAGCCTACCAAGAGGCAATACATTTCAGTCACTCTGTGCCTCAGTTTCCCTATTCATAAAATGCCTATGATAAGAACTCCCATAAAGAAAAATACTGTATGCCGAGACCGGTTTGGCTCAGTGGATAGAGCGTCGGCTTGGGGACTGAAGGGTCCCGGGTTCGATTCTGGTCAAGGGCATGTACCTTGGTTGCGGGCACATCCCCAGTAGGGGGTGTGCAAGAGGCAGCTGATGGATGACTCTCTCTCATCGATGTTTCTTACTTGCTATCTCTCTCCCTTTCTCTCTGTACAAAATCAATAAAATATATATATATAAAAAAAGAAAAATACTGTAACATTAAAACATTATATTGATAAAGTAAAAACTGAAGAGTGTATTAAAACTGACTAATTTCTGCCCTTCTGGTGTACTCAGTGGTTAGAGTGTTGGCCCTCACACTGAAGGGTCACGGGTTCAATTCCTGATCAAGGGCAGGTACCTGTGTTGCAGGTTCAATCCCCCAGATTTGGTTGGGCCCCTGTGGAAGGCAACCAATTGATGTGCTTCTCTCACATTGATGTCTATCTCTCTTCCTCCCTCTCTCCCTCTCTCTTTAAAGATGGACAGGAAAAAGCCCTAGCCGGTTTGGCTCAGTGGATAGATCGTTGGCCTGTGGAATGCAGGGTCCCAAATATAATTCTGGTCCAGGGCACATACTGGGTTGCAGGCTCTGCCCCAGCCCCCACCCTGGTTGGGGACTGTGTGGGTTG